TTGCCTTAAGGGGAACGTCACTTGCCACGCCCCCTTGATATGTATGAATCTCTTATTTTAAAACTCTCTCATCCTTGTAAGAAGTAAAACTGTAAAATTGAAACATTATCATTAATTATCTCATCGATCTCTTATATTTTAAACCAAATTTTTTAATTTTAGAAAACTTCTATTTTGGACACTTTTTTCTTTACATGCCCATATATAGCATGTTATGTTTGGGCTAATTTGTTTAAATTTTTTTAATTAAAAATTCACTTATTTTTCCCCCAAGAGAATCACTTTAAAATTTTTTATCATATTTGTTAAACTTTTAAAAGTAATCGGAATTTGAAAGAAGAATAAATTATAAGAGAACCTTGATAACAATATGTATGGAGATACACAAAGACATTATAAAATATAAAAATAATTAAAAATAAATTTTTATGAACAAAAATCCCCAAAGATATCATATATAATATCTTAAAATTACTAATAAATCGTTTTTATAAATCGTAATCGAACACAATAATTTCTGCTTTTTATAAAATCCCGGCACAATAAATTACCTTTTATAAATTTCTAAAACATCTGAAAATGACTTACTATTTTTTCCCCCCCAAATTGAAACAAACGGATTACCGCATGTTTGGATTGGAGAAAAAGTCCAGAGGAAAGGAAGCATGAGATGAAAATCAAAATATGGGAGGATTATGGAGTTTTCCCTTGTTGAGAGAAGGGAATAAAAGTTAGAGTAAGGAAAAAGAAGAGGGAAAATGTGGTGGGTCGAAAATGTGGGTGTGACCCACCACATTTTCCCTCAACTTTTCTTTATGAATATGAAACGATGTTGGGAAAAAATATTCTTTCACTAAGCGTCTCCATTCATGTCATCTTCTCCCTCCAACCATTTTATTTAGTTCACAAATAATATGGGAAAAAAACCATTTCTTTCAATTTATTTTTAAATTTATACAAATATGAAAACTATATTTTAAACACACATCTTTGAGTTTGTTTTCTTTCAATTTATTATTTGATCCTCAAAATATGTTTTTAAACATAAGAAATTATTTGATTTTAAAATATACAAATATGAAAATATATTATCTTTAAATATTTTTACCTGATGGATAATATTTATATTTGCATAGTTTTGTTGTAAACCATATGAAATATAATAAATCTAGTTACAACGATATTATTGTCATCGTCATGACGTTTGCCCTTTTTATTTTTAACCCCTTCATCAAAATAGGTAGGGTGATAACATTATTTCTTAAATCTCATCTTCTTCCATTTTCTTTCCTTCTAATTTTTCTTTCCATTTAAACAGAGCATTAATGAAAAGGTCCGTGACTATTTAAACACAAAGTTTTCGTTTGAATGTGTGCACATAAGACATATCTTTATTAAAAGTTAGAATTGAGTTTTAATTTATATCAATATAAAAGACATCTTTTAAAAATTAGATTAAAGCATGTGTGAATATTTTAAAAAAATGTTTTTGAATATGTTGGCTGAAAACTTTGACAATGCTCCTATTGACTCCACAATAGGTGTGTATGTCTATATATATATATATATATATATATATATATATAAACTACTTTAATTGTGAGACACCTCTGTGGTCAATGATACAGCTGATTTTTCCTTGACCATTGGTGATTATTTAAACAAAGGGATTTCAAAGATTTCCATTTCATAGCTTAATATTAATTGGTGGCATATATCACACACAGCCAACTTTTATCTTGAAAGGCCATGCTTCTATATCTCCTGCCCATCTATGTTAATTGCATCTGATACCAAACCCTCTTGAAAGACGAACTTCCTATTTCCGACCGCTGCACTCGCATCTGGATCTGATACCCTCATAATTTATTATTATATTTCTTAAGGAAAAGGGGGAAAGAAGAAAAAACTTGTTCTCCCACTTTTTCTCTCTCTTGCTTCCTCAAGGTCTCTTCTTGATGAGTCCAAACATAAAAGCAGACCGAAGACCAACCGAGAAAGTTAGTTCAAACCCCCATTGTTGCTGATTCAGATGAACTTTTCTGCTGCATGCATATGCATGTTGCTGAAAACAAGCTTATTTCCTTAAAGGTGAGCTTCACAGAATTCGATCTTCTCCATCTTATCTTCAATCTTGCTCAGATAGTTTCTTAGATGGTCACTGATATTTGTTTGCATTTACAAATTTTTCAATAGAAGAAGAAAGAGACCAGATAGAAGAGATAAGTAATGATCCAATAGTGCAAGGTGTGATTCTGTCTGAGATTTCACGTTTGAGCTTCAACTTAATTAGGACTGCAGATTTAGTACAGCAAATTGAAGTTGATTTGTTTGTTAATTATTGGACTACGACTTAGCTACTCTACTGTATCCAGAGGTAAGAACTGTCTCTTTTTGGGTTTTTTTTAAAATTATTTTAGACTGATTTAGAAGTACAATTTAAAAATAGCCTTTCTACGTCTGATTAAAAAAAAAACAAGAAAAAAGAACGTAGTTCTTGCGGAGTGACTGAGATAGGAAATTATCTCTTTCTGTATCAGTTCAGTTCCATATCTGATTGGAGAAATATATAACCGGATTAAGAATACGATAAAAGTTGTAGCATGATGAAGCACTTTCTAGGCATAACAGATCCTTAAAGCCACTTTTTCTATCGATGATATAACTATTATACGAAAAAGTCACTTTTTTGATTAGACGAGGCTATAGTTATTATATATTCCATGGTTTTACCAAAAAAAGAAAACATATAATTAAGTAGGAGGCCAGAAGCCAACTAATGCCTGTCATTTTGCTTAAGCACGAGATTGTACGTTTGTTTAAGCATGAGATTCCATGTTTGATCCTCTATAGGTGTGACGGGTGTGTGAATCTTCTAGCGAATGAAGGATGACACAAAAAAAAAAAAAATTAGTGTTCATGATTTTAAGAAAAAATTATGTATAATATGTAAAAATATTTATATTTTCAATACCTTTACATATGCCTTTATATGATGATGGTTTGAAAAACATTTGGGATAACTCTTAAAATTATACATAAAATTTAAATCAAAATATCTACCTTAGAAAATTAGGAAAAAATCGGGGAAAAGTCTCCTAGTAAAACTTTTTTTTAAGTGAGAATGACTAAATCAAAGTATTCCTATCGTGCATACAAAATTTACAAAATACTGCTAGTACTTTCTATGTATAGAAATCATCCTTTTCACCAATAAAATTTTCAATGGAGAACTTTTTCCTATTTTTCTCAGAAAAATTTGTGTTTGACTTAGTTATATATATTGTGTGTGTGTGTGTGTGTGTGTTTTTTTTTATATTTAAAAAGTTGTATATATGTTAGAAAAACTTAAATTAGTCCTAATTAATATGATACACAAACTAAATACTAAAAGAGTATAATACAAATCATTCTATTTTTATTAATTAATGAAGACTACAGAATTAATATAAATTAGTAAAAAATATTTTAATAACTTATATTATTTATTTCTACTTAAATATATTAGCTATATATAATAACAACCCATTCCCACCATCATCATCATCATCATTATTGTTTTTTTTTTTTTTTGGAGGACCCCCTTAACTATAAGATGTGTCCGCCATGGGAAACAAAAGCAAAAGCTCAAACTTGAGATTAGCCATTTAAACTCTGCCACAGGCATATGTATGAGCTACATGACAAATGCAACCCCAAAGCATTTCATTTTTCATCACAACAACATAACTTAAACCAAAAAAGTTGGAAAAACGCAAAGCACAATATAGCTACAAGACAAAAGTAATCACGGGATCGGTCGAAGGTAAGTAAACATGATGGACAGTTCATTAGTTTTGTTGGCATAAATATACAAAACCCAGAAATATTTATGTTCTGCAACTACAAACCAAAACTTCATCAATTTCACAGGGCAGAGTTTGAGCAGAGCTAAGCTTCACCTTAATTCCGTCGAACTGTGATAGTAGACCAGCACCCACGAAGGAAGTCTGGTAACGATGAAAAGCCTTTTTGTATTAGTGAGTGATTTGCTGTGGTTGTCGTTGGTTTGTATTATGTGCACGACAAAGGAATATGTCGGAATGTTGCTGTGGAAGGGAGTTCGAAATGTGGTTTTTGGGCCAATATAGAGTTAGACATCAGATTTGGCAAATTGGTGGAGGAATATAGAAACTCGACATATATTTAGTAAACAGTATGTGTGATTTGGCTAAGTGCATTTGATTCATTCATTTGCCCTATTTTTCTTCATAGCGACATTATTGGTACTTGGCAGGCGTTTTCAGGACAAAAACCTCAGCAAAGCCGACCTTGCACATGAAAAATGTCTTCTTGGAATTCAGTCCCACTTCATGTGTCGTACGAAGTTTTGGGTTGGCTCACCTTTTGTTGCTGGTGTATCAGTTTTTACCCACAAGTTATCATGAATTATCGCAGGAAAAGGTTAATTTCAACAAAATATATCAACTTGCTTGCTTCATTTATTATCTTCATCTCACAAACACAATGCTCAGTCATGCTTTTACTACTTTTCTTTTTTTTTTCCCACCATTCTAATTTGCCTCACCTTTGTGTTTCTTGGATTTCAGTGTTGTTGGATTGAACTTTGATTTTGTGCTGTTGAATCTCACTAAGCACTCATCCTATCTGTTCTACAATGCATCTCTGTACTTCAGCCCAACTGTTCAGAAGCAATACAGAAATAAATTTGGTCAAAAAGAGGTTATTTCCTTGTGCAATCAGCTTATATATCAATACAAACTCAAAGCTTATAAGTTTGCTATTTAAAACCATTTTAATTTTCGTTTGTTTTTCAGATGATACCTGTAGCAGCAAATGATGTTGCTTTCTCATCTCATGCTGTTCTGCTCACTGCAATTTCCTTGTTCCAGATTGCTATCTATGATGTATCATGCTCTTTTTTCCACTGAGCTTTTTGTACTTTTTTTTTTTTTTTTCCTGTTGGAATTTCTTATTATGGTTTGTTACTGTCGCGTGGAAATCAAAAAGTGTCAAAAATAGCTTGGGCAATTGTGTCTGCTGCTTGGTTAGTTGCTGCAATATGCTTCTTCATAACTCTGTTCACACACCATTGGCTCTGGCTTCTCTATGTATTCAAGTATGTTGTGCTTTCTTACTTAAATCTTTCCCCCATTTCAGCTACCCTCTAACATCAGTTTTTAATTAACTTGTTGAAATCAATCATTTTGCAGTATCATTCAAGTTTGTATGACATGCGTAAAATATATTCCCCAGTTCAGGATTCATTCCATTTTTTGTTCTTCTCTTAAACGAAATTTGTATTGCAAGGATCATGTTTGTAAAACCTAATGCTAAAAATCATATTTGCATTGTACTCTGCCCTTGCTAGTTTGCATTCCTTTTTTCCCCCTTGCGTACCAAAGTGCTTCTATTAGTTAGCCAAATAATTTGATAACATTCTACTGGATGAAGGCTGTGATGAACTACAGGAGAAAAAGTACAACAGGCTGGAGCATTGGTAACATTCTACTGGATTTTTCTGGAAGTGTTGGAAACTATACACAAATGGTTATGCAATCAATAGATCAAGGTTTGTATTGACATCTCCTTTAGCTGTAAGTGTATGGATTTTTCCAAGTGTATATCATCACAATGACAAGATTTCAAATCTCAGGTTCTCTGACAAACTTCTATGGGAATATAGGAAAACTGTTGTTATCTCTGGTATGGATCATTCTCTCACCCTAACTTATATATATAGAATATGATAATGAATTGTTAATAGTGATGTAATTTGCAATTGCAGGTTTCCGTATTCTTTGACATTCTGTTCATAATCCAGCATTATGTGTTATATCGGCACAAAAAAGGCCCAAACTCAAAGGCCCCTCTGGAAGCTGAGGTAGCCAAGTCTGCTACTGATAGACCAGTGGCACAGAATGTTTAAGATTTTGTGGTGGTTCATAAGTTCAGAATGGTTTGTATGTTGTAATAAATTTGCTTTAATAATTAAGGGATTATTCCTTTGGAATACTTTGTATGTCTCACACGAGATCACCAAAGTGATTGACCAAGGTAAAAGGTAAACCATTTTAATAAAGGTTACCAAAAAAGAAAAAGTAATAAAACAGAAGAAAAGCTGGTATAATTAATACGCAGCAGAATCCTTGGAATGCATGAAAGCAATATACCAACAGCTCCCAAAAATGAGGTTTCTAAAGAAATTTGGTCTTATTCACCAGAAGTTCCAAGTAACATTATTAATACTCTTCCAGTATGGCACATACATAGTTAATACTAGGGCTACAACTCCGTGATCTATGGTTTTCAGATGAAAAGTTTAAAAAACTTTCTCATGGAACCTGAAGGATCGCTGAATAACACGAAAATGCCGACAAGTGTTGACAAAAATTATGATTTAAAAGAGGAAGACAAACATGCCTTTTCCTAGTTCCCAAGTGTCTTCTATAGTTTTACTCATTCAATTATTCAGGCAATCAGATGAGGAATATTGCCCAGCGAAGCCTGAACTCTCTGCTGTGAAAATGAGAGGTCAACCATATCACCTTGCAAATACTTCTCATTAGCTGACAGGTCAAAATGGCCATGTCCACACATTGCTGTCAGAATGACCTTGGCCTCTCCAGTCTCTCTACAGCGAAGAGATTCCCTAATAGTTGCCGCGATAGCATGAGTAGGTTCAGGAGCTGGTATCAACCCTTCAGACCTGGCAAACTGTATTGCACCTGCAACAAAATAACAAGTCACCCTTTCTAAGTCCTTCCGTGGTTACTTGCTTCTATTTTCATTCGAGTAACAGAAAACAATATTTTGGTCCCTCGATCAATAAAATACTGCCAGTGTTATCGTTCCATCCTATCACTAATCAAAATTTAACATCAAACCTAACAAATTGCTGACATAACGCAAGGCAGTACCATACAATGTAAGTCATAAATGTCCAAGTTAGCAATCCATTAAGTTTAGCATCACTTGTAGTATTATCATAATTTGATAGACTATATTAAAATAAATGATCCGGGAAGAACGAAATTGAAATTGCATTTATCAATCAAGAATCAAAATACGGTGTTCATTGAAAAACCAAGGCTAGGTAGCAGTTAATCTTTCAAATAGTGGCAATTACAATTACCATGAAAGCACTCAGTCTGTGGAATTGCAATTGCTTCCACAAATCCCAACTCATAAATATGCGACAGCAATGGAGCCATTCCATGGTAGCGCAAACCCCCTACAGAAAAGAAAAACTACAGATTAGGGCAAGGAAAAAAGTATGAACTGACTAATCTGAGCTAAAATCTCTCATAATAACAAATTTTTACCGGCATGAATTGGATCAGGAACAAAGTCATGTCCAAGTGTGTGCATTTTCATCAACGGAGTCATCCCTGCTGTATCTCCATAATCATATGCATATACTCCTTTTGTTAAAGAAGGACAAGCTGCAGGTTCAACTGCTCTTATAATAGGGTTAATTTTCTCATTGAGTTTCTCTCGAATGAACGGAAAACTAAGCCCAGCAAAGTTGGAGCCACCACCAGTACATCCTATGATGACATCGGGGGTTTCTCCAATAGCTTCCATTTGTTGAAGGCATTCTTCTCCAATAACAGTTTGGTGTAGTAAAACATGATTGAGCACACTTCCCAGACAGTACTTGGTATCGGCATTTTTAGCTGCAACCTCTACAGCTTCTGATATTGCTATTCCTAAACTTCCAGGGCTTGATGGATCCTTTTCAAGGATTCTTTGCCCTGCCTCGGTGACTGCAGATGGAGATGGGTGTACTTTTGCACCCCAAGTTTGCATCATCAATCTTCGATATGGTTTCTGATCAAAAGATGTACGAACTTGCCACACCTGTAATTGTTCATAACAGTTTCTGAGCTTAAACAGAATCATGTGCATTTTTTTTAAAAAAATTAGTATTTTACATTCACACCACCAACTTTTTTGCTTGTCTTGATGGATCAAGGATTTAAAAGATAATGTTGACGGCTTAGTAGCGTGGACAAGTGAGGTTTGTTTTCAATATTTTGGTTTTGAAGTTTTTTTTTTTTTTAACCTGAAGTTTCAAAGGTCTTTGTACATCAAAGGACATAATTCAAAGCATCAGTTTTATAGTCCCACATATGCCACTTAATTTATAAAAGTCTCAAAAAAAATTCTGATATAATTAAAAGCATCAAAGGACATAAATGAAATTATGCTTTGATGATGAATGAGCGAATGTCCATCGAGCGGCTCTCGTTATTATATTGTCACCAGAGAATAATATTCCAACAAGGTAATCAAAGAGGAGTTTGAACGCATGACTCCTTAACTTACTAAAAAGTTATAACCACTAGGTTAGGAGACCTATTTAATTATATGTGATAAATTTAGGTTCTAAACCACTTGTTACAACATGAAGTGTCTTTTTTAACCACAAATATAACTTGTCAATTTAATTATATACTCCTCCGATTTTAAATATAATATTCATTTTGTAATGTAAGTTGTACTACAAAATAGGTCTTATATTTAGAACTGGAGGAAATACTTGTCAATTCTCTATGGAAACTTGCTAACCTTGTACTCTTTCCATATTCAATCTTCCTTACTTGTTACAATGTAAAGTATACTTGGATAAAAACATAACTTATCAATTCATCTATGTTCAGCTGACAATTTTATAGGAACTTGTTAACCCGACTCTTTTCATATTCATTCTTCTCTACTTGTTATGACATGAAGCGCACTTAATTGTTAAAACTCTAAAGAATTGACAAGTAAATATAGCTAAATTGACAAGTTATGTTAGAGTTTTAATAGATACACTTTATGTTGTATCAAGTAAAGAAGATTTAATATCCAAAGGGTATGGTTAGCAAGTTTTCATAGAGAATTGACAAGTACGCATGGATATATTGACCAATTGGATGAAATTTTAACAATCCACTTTATGTTGTTATAAGCAGATTGTTTAGAAGCTAAGTTTATCACATATACAAATTTTTTGCCCAGCCAAATGGACATTGTTCTCATAAACTGAATTGGTTGGCCTCAGATTCCATCGACAAGTCATCTTATAAATTTCTAAAAAAGGTTCCAACAAAATATATCAACTTTCATCTTGATTCTTTTACTTTTAGCTCACAAACACAATCCTCACTCATGCTTATACTCCTTACTTTTATTTTTTTTCCCCATTCTAATTTGCCTCACTTTATGAGTTTTGGAAATGGTTATTATTACTTCAGGTCCTAAATATAAAATTTAATTTGTGGTGTATATCTCTTTCAGCCCATGTATTTGATGATGAAGATTTCAATGAAGAACAAAAATTTGATTTCGTATCGTTGAATTGAACCAAAGCATACCTATTATTTGTCACACAATTTTATATCGAATTTGAATGCCCTCAACTCAGGCTCTCTAAGTCTCAATTGAGAAATTAAATATTAATATAATAATATTGAGATGGAGTTAATTTTTTTTTTTTTTGGAAAAAATACTTAACAATTAAAAACCTCTGTATGTTTTTAGAAAAGTGTAATTAATTCATTAACACTAGTAAATTAAAGTACAGTTAATTTGTTAATTAATATTTTGAATTGACGCTCAACAGAGGGAATCCGAAGACGTGTTCTTCGCTTCAGCCCCACCATTCAACATCGATGCAAAGAAAAATACAATCATAATGAGACTGATCGCGTATAATCCGCTTATAAATTCCAAGTCTCCAAACTCAGTGGGGTCATAGAATATTAATTATCCAATTGTGATGAAATAGCATTGAGTATTGACTATTCATAAGGGAGGACCCGAGGAATTATATTTATTTTAGAAAAAATATTTAATAATATAATTAAAGACCTCCATATTCTTGAAAAGAAAAATACTTACATCAAGTTACTTATATTTATTATATTAAGTTCTTTAATTACTTATGGTCATATATCATTTTTTCACGTGGGTTTGTAGTTTAATGATGATATTTTAAAAAAGGAGAATTGTAATGAGGTCCCAAGCAAGGAAAAAAAATTGAAAAACAAGTCCCAGAGATTGTCATTCTCAGGATTTATCATTATAGGCTGTAGAGGTTGTTATTAGGATTTTTTAGTAATTATTTCTTTTTCATGGGACTTGATTGTAATTCTTCCTTTTAAAAATAAGACGCATAGCTATGTATGATTGGAAAACTTGACATAATGAATATAAGGATAACTTAAGCATTGTTTTTTAAAAAATGTAATTTATTCCTTAATACTATGTGGCATCACAATTCAATAATTAATATTCTTAAATCGAGGGTCCATTAAAGGAATCTAAGTCCATCTTTTTCTTCAGCCTTACTATTCAGAAGCAGTACAAAGAAAAATACAGTCATAATGAATTAAATCCTTGTATATTAATCCACTTGTAAAAGCTAAGTTTCCAAACTCATTAGGGCCACATACGCATGTTTTCGATGGAAAAAAGAAAGCAACAGGTGAATATGCCAAGCCATCTATCATTATTAGGTTTCGATAAGCTCGTTCATCTCACCTGCATTCCATCTTGGAGAACACAGAGGTTGATGGAGAGTTTTCTATTGCCTCCACTCCAACAAATTGTAGGACAAAATAAATGACAAATCAAGATTGTTGAAATTTCAGTCCCAACAAACACGAACCATCCATTGAAAATCTTAATCGATGTATTGATCATGAAAATTTTCTTTATTGAAAATTTGTAAATACAAACTCAGAGACCAATATCTAGGCAGAATAGCTAAGTCAACCTTGTCAATATACTACTTTCAGTCCTTAATATAAGATCCATTTGACTAATTATTAGCTAGCATTTGCAAAAATTTTGTTGATCAAACGTTGTTGGGTGGCAGCTTTTTAACATAAATGATTTATAAAGTTTTAGATCTAAACTAGTTATAGATATTTTTCATCTTTTAGATTAAAAACTTAAAAATTATTTGATATATTTTAAATTCAAAGTTATACAGTTTTTGAAATAATTATTGTACATATTGTAAACATTGTGAGGTTTCTTATATATTCTGATCATTAGGTGATCTCATCTCATTGTTTAGTGAAAGATACTCCAGATTAGAGGGAATGTTAAGGAGATTAAACTGCTCCGAATGTAAAAGGAGTGTAATCAAAGTGACTAGGTGTTGGTCAAGTTTATATATATGTACTGAGATTTTGCTGGAACTCGATTGAATAAAGCAAGAATAGTGAAAAGTCTCAATTCATGACTTCAAAATAGCTTGATCATTTTGAAATACTTAGAGATCAGTCTAGGATTAAATTTATTAGTAAATAAATTACGTAAATGCTCTTAATTTGAAATATGAAAAATGAAATGAAAATGACAATTGAACAAGTAACAAATTTAACTTTTTAAAATGATGACAACAACTAAGGCAAAGACAACATAATTTCACTAGATTTTCAGCTTTTTGCACTGACAAGAAGTGAAAATAGTCGTCACTGCCTTAATCACTGGTGAAATTATGTTGTCAATCTGCCTTACATTTGTTTTTTATAATTTGATAAGTTAGAATCATTCTTGTTAAATTGTTACTGCCATTTTGTATTTCATTTTTGAAATTTTCAACTAAGATTATTTAGGTAATTTTTCTACAAAGTTTAATCCCAAACCAATCCTTAAAGACTTCATAAGGCCATTTAGTTCCAAATTGGGATTTACAGAATTTGGAGTATTTTTTTGTTTCTTTCCCCCTTAAGTTTATGTTATACATATAATTAATATAGTATATAGTCTGATTATAATCTAGTCAACTTAAAAAGTCAAAAAGAGATTATAAATCTTGCGCGCTAATGCATGTGGATCATGGATAATTAAAATATACATAAAGTTGCATAATTTTCTCAGTTGTCTTGTGTCGTTTATGGTGGGTGACGGCCAAAACAAAGTGAGAGGCAAAATGAACACAAATTGGTGGATCGGGAAAAAAAAAAAAAAGGAGAAATATAGAAAAGAACAAATTAAAAGTGATGATATTGGAAACGAGTTAGGTAGTGGCACTTTGGGAGGCAAACTTTGGCTTTGATGCTACTCCTCACAATGAGGTGCCAGAGTCCTACACCTATTTATTTTCACATCAATTTCATCCAATATCATACTACTTTGGTTGTTCTAGGAGTTTCTCACATATAGAGAAAAATATTAAATAAATTAAATCTTCTACTATTGCCCTTATTAAGGAGAACATTAAATGCTAGTGTATATTTTTTCAAGTGAAAACTGCTAGTATATTTTCTCTTCACCTTTACTATAATAATAAGAAAATAATTGAAAATGAAGCATTAAAAAAGATATAAATAACAAATAAAAGGACCAAATCTCCTCATAAGTGACAAGTAATAAGGACCAGGGTGGTAGGACACAGATTATTGTGTTCATAAAGATTAATTAAGCTTTATAACAAAGTAAGTGCATGATATCCTCAGCAATAATTTGAAATCTAATTATTATATAAATATATTTCTGTTAAAAAAAAAAGAAGATAGTGGAATAATTGTATTTATTTTGTAAAAAAAAAAAATTTAGCCAACGTTGCAACCACCTGGTCAATTATATGTGGGTGGGTTGTGGAGAATTGTCGGAGAGACAAGACATTAGTGCACCTTAGCACTATATCCCCAGTTTCCCACTCACATTTGCCTTCCCTTATTGACCTTAATATTCAATTCACTTCCTATCATAATCATTTAATACACATGTTCAAATATAGTAAATGAAATTATATATTGGCATTTAATCATGTACGCGGCTTATTATTTACATTTTTATATTCTGCACATCGTGGGGGCGGTTTCCAAATTCAATTTAATCTCTTCTTGAAAGATAAACAAGGGAATAAAAAAGACCAGGAGAATCAAAAAGGTATATCA